GAAAAGCAGCAGTTATTACTGATTTTTGTATGATTTGTAGGTGTCGCTGTATACGTCCATGCAGGACATGAATATTCTATAACGTGTCATATGTAGGTTTTTGTATATTTTGGGAATATTTTGTGCCAATGTGCTACAGTTTCACCAGTCAGACTTTTGATATAGTTGGCTCTACGCCAAATTTTATATATATATATATTTACTGTTAGAACATGTTTTGACCATGTTAGTTGAGAATCGAATATAATAAAGAGCCAACAATTTAGCCGATTTGGCTACCTGGAGAAGAGTTGTACTTAAATGTTGTTCTGAGGAACGTTTTTTATTTGAAATTAGAGGCATGACTCGACTGTGACCAGGTATTTTCACACCTATAAGCGCTCCCTAATGGTTTAACATATTACTTCGTAAGAAACGTACTACCGCACGTACCTTGTCCTCGATAATACTTCCGTAGGTGTACGAAAAGGTCAACGTCCTTTTCATGACCGGTTATTAACGTTTTTATTTCCCTTCCCATGCACCGTGGTTTAAACATCTTCAGGTCTCATATTTAAAAAATGCACCATCCCCATCGTGTGGTTATTCTTCTAGTCTTTACCGAGCCGATGAGTGCGCGCGCACACGCGAGTTATTGTTGAATACGCAAATAAAAGAATTTGCACCCCCCTTTTCCTCAAAGTGTTAGAGATATAAATCAGGGAATTTACTCAAAAATGCCATCTTTAAACCGATAAAATCCTCGATCTACTGCTGTTAATCCTCAGCTGAATCGAACGAACGTAGCGACTCATGTTACTGTCAATTCGAAGACGTTCTTGTTGTTTTAAACTTATTTTATATTTACATACATATGTTGTTTAGCTGAAACGACCTTTAGGAAAGAGCTATGGAAAAAACAAGAAGTTACTAACACCCTATGGACTTTTCTAACTGTGGTAAACTTGCTTTTGTTTGAAAGAAACTATTCACCAACACCCTACGGACTTTTCAAACTGTGGTAAACTTCCTTTTGTTTGAAAGAAATTATTCACCAACACCCTATGGACTTTTCTAACTGTGGTAAACTTCCTTTTGTTTGAAAGAAACTATTTACCAACACCCTATGGACTTTTCTAACTGTAGTAAACTTGCT